GTTCTTGGATGTGTCCAATTGCTGCTTGAAGCTCTTGGGACATTCTGTCCTTCGTTGCTTTCACAGATTCAAGCTCTGAATGTTCTTGATGAGTTTCTTGTGCAAGCTCTTGATATCTCATGTAGATATGTTCAGCTGTCGATTCCGCCAAGCGTAGCTTGTGTTCGAGCTCTTCAATTCTTATTGTCGCTCCTTCATCTTCCTGTGTCATCTCTTGTAGATGTTCCTGCATCTTCCTGTTGTAGTCAGACATTTGCCTGAACTCCACTTCAGCCTCGTGGTGTAGTCGTGAGTATCCGGCTTGGATGCATTCATATTCTTCATGAAGAAAATTGTATGCGTTTCTCGCCGATCTCAATTCTTCACCCAGCTGAATCTCTCTTCTTTGCTCTTTTGTTCCTCTATCATCGTCACGTCTCTTCTCTATACTCCTTCTTGGGGATCTCGCGGTAGACGTTATAGGCGATGTAGATCTTGTTGTAGCTCTCATCGATCTTCTTGGTCCTACGGGTGCAAGATCGGTCAGATTCCGAGCCGGTGGCACGGATCTTTCCGAGATTTGTGATCCAGTAGGCATAGTGATAACGTCAGCATTTGCTGATGAATCAGTACCCATTGTAGAGTCTGGTGACGAAATGGTGTTGGAACCACCAGGAGCAGCGAATGAATAGGGTTCGCTTCCATTTCCTCCTGAGCTTGACATTGCAGGTTTCTGTAATGACTAGTCTTGTTCTTGGTCTCGTGTAGCTCGTACGGCTATAAAGAGCGCGTACGGCTGATAACCTGCGTGTGGATCTTAATCAGCGAAGTTTGAAGCTATCACTGACGATCCATAAGCGGCGTAGCGTCGGAACGGAAACCGCACCTTTTCTAGTCGCTTGATCCTTGAGCCAAAGTACATATGGTACATATATATGTACAAGTTGCACTGTACGTGTCGCTGCACTTCCATTCGCATGATTCAACCTTTGACCCCTTCCTTCTACTGAAATCCCAGCAAATCCAATACTAAAGTTGTTGATTTTATTGATTTTTGTTGACATTAAGTTTCTACTTTTTTGTTTAAACTAAGTATTCTGGAGCACTTTTTGTATTGTTTTTCAAGAAAGCGTGAGCTATTGTGGTTCTTACTTCAAGTAGAGGAAGAGCTGCGTGTGTGCGTTTGCGAGCTTGGGTGCTATTGCCGCTGCAGGGTCCCGCTGCTGTGTGCGCTTGGGAGCTTTTGCGCAGGGTGCTGCTGCTGCTGTGCGCTCCCCGCTGGCGCCGTTGCTGCTGGTGCTGCCGGAAAGATCTTTTTGCTCTCTGGGGTCTATGCTGGCGTATATGTCCTATAATGTTTTTGTTTGGGGCTATAATGAAATAGGGCCCACCCCCCCAAACACCCTTGCACTTAAACCTAGAGGTTGGGGGGGTCCCCAATGAGGTCATTGAATGTCCTTGTTTGCTCTTTCCTTTGGCCGACCCGCCCAACTGTAGATAAGGTAAACATTGAAGGCACTGGCTTTTGCAACCAGATAGATCAGCCTCGCAGTCTTTAGGCTTCTCGTAAAGGTCCCTAAAGCACATCCACAGACCATCCTGTCGGGGTATTACAATGGAGATCCATACTTTGTGTAGGGGCTTCCAGTCAAGTGACCCCGACAGGAAGGTGCTGGTATACTCGAATCATGTAGACTCTTAACTCTTAACTCCTAACTCAATTAATAAACCACCCCATATGAAAAGGTTTTGCAAGTCAAAAGGGGGGGCTATCATTCAGGTGGAAAAAACAAAGAACACCCAGACCCAAACCCAGACGCCACGCAATAAATGGCCGCCATCGCATAACGCCATCCCACCTTGCTCGCGCAGCTCCTGGCCTGGTTGGAGGATTCGAATGAAACCACCGCGATGAGGGAAAAGGTCAACACCCCGGTCACCAACACTGCCGCGGTTCTCTTTTCAGGTGGAGACTGCCAGTTGGGTGTTGCCAGGTCGTTCTCGCGGGGTTTCCTCGCCCTCATTATAGGCGTGTGCATCTTCCGCGGAATGTCCAAAGTGGCGGAAGAAATCTGAAAAACTTCACAATGTCCAGCCTTCTGCCACTTCCATCTGTTCCAAGAGTTTGGCCTCAGGGTGAATTCTGTAGCAGTCAGAGGATGTCCGGCGTTTTTAACAGCTGATGAGGTTGACTTGAAAGGACACCTTCTGTTTCCGAGCCCCAAAAGCCTTCCATGTCTGGCCCAACTGCCTGCGTAGATCAACTGACTCGGATGATGCCGAATCCTCTTCCGGTTCCAAGAATTGTCCACCGTTACCATCGAGACCCGGGGTCTCCACTGTTACGAAGCAGCAGGAACCGGTGTTTCAAAAGATCAGTGTCTCCCTAAGAGGAGAGTGGAGGGGGCAGAGTGGCCCCCTCCAGTGGATGTGGGGTGCCTGAACCTCTGGAAAAGCTATAGATCAATCTTTTGGGGGTCGACCGCCAACCTCAGGGCCACCTAGAGGCCGCCGAGAGGCCGGTTTCAAGGGCGACCAGGCTGACCTCGGCGGCGAGAGGCGGACATCTTGAGGTGTGGACATGGAACTGACACGGGGGAATATGTCCGAATTCGATGCTCTCTCTTTAGATGGAGGGTCCTCAGTCTTTGGGTTGTTTTTTGATGATAGGACTTGACATGACTTGACTATTGACCCACGAATAGAATCGCATAAATAGATAATGACGACCTGTTTCAAGAACTGGTTGCAAGAAACAAGTTGACAACTGAAACCTTCACACGTTTGAGAGTCTTCAAGAACTTAAACCCACCTATTCCAACCCCTTCTGCCAATGCTTTCTGGGCAGGAAACTCCCACACCTCCGCCCAGAATGCTACAGGACCAAGCCGCTTTCGCTTCTCCAGCTCCACATGCTCCAGGGCTTCCTTTCCTCCTTCCGAGTGGGGCACCTCAACGGGCTCCACTGGGAGCGCCTGCACGGCACTTGCGAAAACACCCCCACCACGCCCCGAGCGCCTCTCCTGAGATCTGCTATTGAATCTATTAGGGTTCAACCGTTCTTCGGGTTTACACTGCTTGGATGACCATTTTCCTCTACAAACAGGTCGGTTTTCTAGGATTTCAAGGAGTGTAGTACGTAAATCCCTGATGAACCGAGCTGTTCTCAGAGGGTTCTCAGACCCTCCAGACACTCTCGCACCGGATCGTTTGACCGAGTCGAGTCCAGTCCTTTTGGGGGGTTTGGCCGCTGAGTCTTTTCGGGGCATGCGGCATGGGTCCATGCCAACAATGAAAAAATGGAGCGGCCCATGGCCCATCAAAAGGTTGACATATTGACATATCTATGAGAAGTCCAACATTTGGCCCTTTGGGGGGAGTCAAACTTAGGTGCCATGACCAGGTTCACCACAGAGTCTCTCCATCCAACAGTCATGTGGTTGGGAGCCTATCCATTCTCTGTTTCTGTAGAAAATTCACCCGTCTTTATGACTGTGTAGGATCAAGAAAGTCACCGTGTTTGCTTTTGGACACGTCGTAGGGTGCTGCAGGGTGGCTGCATGTCCAAAAACAAGATGTTGACTCTTTGTGTAGGGATCAGGGATCCTACCTTACACTGCCACTGACAAGCAGGGATCATTGGAAATGTCTGAACCAACAAATCAAAGTTATTTATTAATATATATATATTATATATATATATATATGCATGTCTTACCTTGAGCCTTAGCCTCAGTACCAAGATTGAACCATAAGAAGCGAGTAGCGAGTAGCGAGTGATAGCAAGTTGGGGCAATTTCCATGCTGCCAATACCACCTGTCTTCGTTGCCATGCCAGAGCTACAATTGAAAAAACAAACAGAAGCACGTTTTGAATGTACCCTTCCAAGATTGAGAGTAGTGGGAGGTACCTCAGTAGATCTCAGTACTCACCTGGATTCATTTCACTGAGGCATGGTACATTGTTTTGACCCCACCCCCCTGAGTCCAACCCTGATCAAAACCAACCCCCTCCATGCCACCCATCATGCAAAACCCATCAAAACCCTCCCTCTCACACGCTACTGCCCTTGGTTTTTTCCGACCTGTCCGATCTTCAGGGCATTTCCCAAAAAGATCCGACGTCCAGGAGCCGACGGCCCCGGCTGGGCTGGAGCCGACGTCCTGCCGACGTCGGCCGCCTGGGTGAAGTCCAACTGGGTCGCCGGGATCTCCTCGAGGTCCTCGTGCCTGGGCCGGACCGGACTCGGGACGCCGGACGCGGACGGCGCCCGGGACTGGTCCTCCGGTTCGACAGGCTGCTGTGAACAGCGACGGAGTGGCATCAAGACTTCTTTCAAAGCACTTTGTTTCATCGAGAATAACACATTGTGTCCTGTTCTGCACTTGAAAAGAGATCTGGAGTCCAAAAAATGCATCCTTCGTCCACATGTCCACCTCTCTTTCAGCACCAGAGGTTTAGAATAGGGCGAGTTCACCCGTCCTATCCGCGAACCCCAATGAGGGATCATCTGTCATCCAATCTTGTTGTTCTATCATTGCATGGATTATGACTCAGTCAGACTAAGTCAAATGTTTTTGCATCACATCATCGACACCCAGAAACCAGTAAAGGCAGTATAGCTCCTATAACCCAGGTGTATACCCCAGGTGTACTGTTCTGTTCGTGCTCCCTGCAAATAACAATGACACGTCCAAACAAACGGAATTCCTTTTTCCCACAGTGGTCTCCGCGCAGGCTGCGTGGCCGGCTGCGTGGCTGCAGGCTGCCATGCAGGCTTCCTGCGTTACTGGTATGCCGGTCCAGGGCATCCGGCCCATCGCCGGTCCGCAACAAACGTGGACGTTGGGCGCTCCCAAACGTCGATCTCACCGCCTCTTAGGGGCGTCCAAAGACCCATGGCCCGGCGAAGAAAGAAGAAACACCCGTCATCGACCCACGTCACATTCACACATCTCTTCGCTTGTGTATCCACGTCGATCTTGTGTTTGCAGTTGAAAGGCTGACAAATGCAGTCCCACTAGGGGACTTCAGGTGTGAACAACTGCACCGCCCGCTGCTCAAAGGGATCCTCTTCCATTGCAGAGGCCATCTCTCCCCAACCCTCCTCCGCCGTGGTAGTCGACCGATGTGAAAGGCGCTTTGGGGTGCTTTTTTCGGCATCACTTGGAACAACATCGTAGAGGTTAATCATATATTGGATGCTTCAACGATCAACGACATGTTGTGTATATTATATATATATGTTTTTACTTGAACCGACTGGAACACCCGCCTTTCATTTAGATAGGTTTGATGGATGTCCACGTCCAACTTGAATCTCCCGGAGGTCGCCCCCAAAGACTGGAGGTTTTGTGCTACCAAACCAAGGTGGCTTGACCCATGTGCAGATATATGCACGGCAAGGCTCGATCTGGACATCGGGCATGTTTCACTGGAGGGTGCACTGACCTCTATAACAAATTAAAAGTGGATCAATGAGTGTGTAATGACTGAATCTTTTGATTGAACATGTCTTATAGAAATCATGTTGCCTGCACACATGATCACAAATGAAGTTATAATAAGTTATATAATTGCACAGTCAAACCCCTCCTCCAGCTGTACCTGCGTCTGCTCTCCATAACCCCGGCGTTTCCGCAAGCGCAGCGTGCGGCGCGTGTCATGGGACGTGGCGGCAGGGAGGTGCTGCAAGGAACTGTACAAAGAGGCCCACACCTGCTGGGTTAGAGCTTCGCGTCATAGGCGACGAAGGTTCGACTGAAACGATGAATTTCCGATGAACAGTGGGCAGCTATGCGGCCGGTTGCTTGTAGAATCCTTGTTGAGAAGGCCATGTGTCATAGTAGGTCATTCTTTCTTCAAGGGTCTTAGTCTCTTAGAGCCCGGTTCTTAATCTCTCACATTCGTGTCTTGAGATTCCTCACTGGTGCTCAAGACTAAGTTGGATTGACAAGCAAATTACTTTCCAGACAGCAGCCCTTTGGCAAACAAACATGATCTACAAACAGGGTTGTGGTCTCCTGCTGAATTCCATATCAACAGAACAGGTGTCCAGGGGTGTGGTATCTATCTTGCAGCAAATGCCATGCTTAAGTATTGCAACATGGTGCTTGAAACTCAACATTTTGGCTCCCTCTCCTTGCTCAGCAGGTCCCGGTCTTGAAAGCGCTCCTGGTTCCATGCGGCCACTGGGTGCTCTTCTACTTAAAGCTGCGAATTTCAGAACTGTGGCCCTCATCCAAGAGGTTTGGCTTAGCTAAATAGCGAAAGGCTTCGTAAACTGGTCTTTCCCTCGCCTATGACACACCATGCAAATGCGAGATCCTTGCGCACCGCCCCATGTGCCGATGTCTCACCAAAGAGGGGCTGTGAGACCAGTCTCCATTGTGAACATGAACAAATCACCACAACAAAGCGAGCAAATGGGTGCAAATGGCATCTCCTGAAGTTCTTTTTCAATGCGATGCATTGTGAAGGTCTCTGTGTGGGACACGTCCCCCGTGTCATCTGCAAAAGCCACGCAAACGGCGCCAGCTTTCACCAGAGCCGCCTGTAGCCAGTACTTCAAGAGCTTGTAGCTACCATTTAATCCTCACTTGATAAGGTGGAATGAGGCTTGAAGCATCGACCAAATCAAACCATTTCGAGGAAAACAAAGGCAGGACGCCGTAAAGGTGAGAATCCGCTGAGAATCCATTCAAGTGCGTGGTCTTCTTGATTTCGACGTATGCATCCAATGGGACATCAACAGCTGAGGCACGCTGCGATCGCCAAATGCGGCACTGCTTCTTGGCATCAGTGGGGTAGGAAAACGGTGGCCCAGCTTCGTATCCTTGGTTGTGCGACAAAAGGGGCCGAGTGGCTCAGGGTGGCTGGATCCAGTTTGGAATCTCATTCATTCCCTTACACTCCAATGGCCTCTTGGAAGACCATTTTCCTCTACAAACAGGGTGTTTTCCACTTCCATGTTAGTTCCAGGGAGAGTATCCCCTACTTTTGTCGCACCAGTCAGAAGACCTGGACAGCCTGGACCACGAGACTTGCATGCCTCCGCGCGTTCGCCACGACCAAAGCACTATAGTAATGAGACAAACCTGAAAGGACATGTCTACTCGAATAAAGTCTAATTGCATAGTCTAATTATACACTGTAGTGGTATGTTTGGGCGTACTTTGGGGGGTTACAAGGGAAGCAACGCAAACAAAAATACCACTTGACCACTTCCAGGGCGCCAGCCTTTAAGAAGTCTTCTTCCCTCTCCAGCGGCTCGGAACCGATTCTCTCGGTACATTTTCTAGGGTCGATCGCATCCGGCGCAGCAGCATAGATGACATGTTGGCCACAGGGAAGCTGGAAAGACATCAAGATCTTTTCTTCTTCCTTGGGATAAAGGAGTTGGGTGGAGTTGGATGTTTCCTTTGCAGAAGCACCCAAGAAATGTCGGAAGTTTGGAACATGTGGTCACTGATCATACAGCCGGGCCTGCACAGTTGGAGACCCAGTGGCCCGAACTTGGATCCGAATGACATTTGGGGTAACAAAGCTGTTCAAGTTGGGCCACCTGTGGTCCAAAAAGCAAAGCAAAAACTTCAACATCCATACTTGCCAGATCTTCCCAGTGTTCCAGCACAGGAAAACGTGATGACTTCGCTGCAAATGCTCCAAATGAGAGTTCAAGACCCACGCGGCCTCCAGCTGATGACCTTGACGCATTCCGTCCGTGGTCTCGCGGGCAAAGCCACGCGGGAGTTGCCCCATATATACCTGGTTGCTTTTGATGAAAAGGGGATAGCACCTCAGTTGAGTAAGAAGAAACACTCCATGTCAGGAAGCTGACTTTGGAAGTGATTTGATATGATTTGGACACTGATTTGGACATATTTGGAAAGTCCGTCTCCAGCGTCTTGCAACCTCTTTAGAGCGTCAGCGAGGGACATGCAGTTCTTTCAGTCTGCGTTTATGGTCGACTGAATTCTGACAGAAAGAAAGAAATAAGTATGTCAAGGTATGTCAAGGCATCCATCCTTGCAGCTCTGGCACTCGTCAATCTCATAAGGGGACCACGCGGCAGTTGCCAAGTCCACCAAGAAGAATCGAGTACAAAAGATTGCGCCCGTGTCACTGAGGGGACAAAGCACTTTGGATGGCAGAAGCCGCTCCCACAGCTCGAAAAAGGACCAAAGGCCTTTGATGACACCAAAAGTTTGCCCCAAGATCTCTTCAAGCTTTTGTCCTGAGACCCGACTCGCCGCCCTGGATCTCGTCGTGGATCTAGTCTTCGCGGCTTCGCGATAGTTTAATTAAGGGACAAGATGAGCGGAACGAGCGGAACTGAAGACCCAGTTGGATCACCTAACCCGCCTTCCAACAATCCAGGTTGGTGTCAGCTGTCCCTTTGTTCCCTTTGTCTGTTGCTGTCTGGGCTGCAGGTGTCTCCAGTTAGTCTAACCGCTGAAGACTGTCAAAAAGAGGCAGTTTTGATGTTCAGTCCAAACAACACTGTTGCACTATCCCAAATGCGAAACAACTCATGGCCATCTAATTGAGGGACAACCCTCTGGCCAACAAAAGCGTTCCCTTGAACATATTTGGCCAAGATTGGCAGATTGACAGACTGCCTGTTTTTCTTGCAGATTCTAGCATTCGAGATTCAAGTGATAGATGATGTCAAAACATGTCAAATGATGTGAAATGATCTTACATCCCTGTAGTCAACAAGGAAGAGATCAAAAATCAAAGAGGATTTACCTCCGACGTCGTTTGACGTGGCGCGGGGACCTTCCGTGGAGCTGACCCCAACAAAGGCATTTGGGCGACGCTGCTTGTTGGTGTGTACTTTCTGTCGATGTAAAAATCGAAGTTGGAGGGGAGCTTCAAGTTGCATACTCACATCAAGTTTCAGCTTTTTGACAGAAGGACTCCTGCACAAAGTGAAGTGCAAGCCTTAAACTTTAAACAGATCTGGACCTTCCAACTACCAACAAATTCTGGTCGTCTTTGTTTTATATGATGTGTTGTTTGTTTTGTGTTATTTTGCGGATTTGTGTTTGTTTGCTGTCTATTGCCTGCGTTTTGTGCTAATTTGCGGTCATTTGACCATTTGCGCTGATTTGCATCCGTTTGCACTACCAGAGTATGTTCGTCGCTGGAAGATCCGGGGACGTTAAATCGTTGGGATTGGTGGAGGATCACGTTAGAGCTTATTTCTTAAACCGCTGGTCCAAATCCCTTGCAACCACTTTAAACTGATGTTTGGCCTGAATCAGCAGGGTTATGCAGGCATTTATACACACAATCCTAGTTGAACCACCGGTAATACGACTCAAAAATCGCTACAACTGGGATCTCCATCGGGGTCTTGTCTTGGAGGACTCTCTGTCAGTCCCAGCTGCTCCCCATGAGTTCCAGCACCTCGGAACTCTTCGCCGTCAGCGCTTCGCAGCGTCGGCACATCTCTTCGGCCTCCGCGGAGCTCCTCGCGCCCAGGTGAAGTTCCGCAGACTTCAAGACCAGCAAAGCACCAAGAAGCTCTCCCTGCAGCGAAGCACTTTCCGACATTTTGCGGAAAAATGAGCAATTGTCCGAAGAATGTGGTGGTCAAGAGGCCTTCAGTGTCTTTTTCTTCGATCTGTGAACTCATTCTCCTACTGTATTGGGCCACAAGATGCCACAAGCAGAATTTAGTGACGCCCACAAGAAAGAGTATAATAGAATTCCTCTTTGGTATCGGTCTGTCTATCGACCTGTGTCTTTTCCCTTTTCAAATCATCAAAGCGAGACCGCAAATACCGCCTTCCAGCATGGCAACACTGCTGGCCACTTTCGGTATTTCAATCACCTTTCAAAGATCCCCAAAGCCTCTCGAGTGGGGTCGGGTGGGGACCTCCTTAGACATCGGATGTGTCCGCTCTCCGCTTTGCATCGAAGATGGAGCGAGAAAAGACACGTCCGGCTTTTTGGAGGAAGTACGAACACTACGAATGAGCTGGAGTTTTGGATGCATGCGGGATTTGGGGCCTACAGTCCTGTGAAATCTCGTGAATAGACCATAGACCTGACCAAATTGTGCCCCAACCACGAGTGGACGATTCTTCTCGAAGAACCCATCGCTCTCCCAAAACAATATGACTGGGTGGCGGGGAAACGGACCCAGCCAGACACTCCATGTATCTATTCATTTGACCTCTGCTTCAATAGGAAAAGACCATATTTTTGATGGTTGGTGGTCCAAAATGGAGGTCACTCAGGCTCTAGGTATATAGGGGTAGATCTGCCGGCCTCAGACAGGTCGCATCTGGGAACTGAACTCGTTCACCCCCGCCTGATGCGGCTCCAGTGACTTCGCCCAGCGTAGCACGGCACCCGGCTCCGTGGCACCCAGAGAGGCCAAGAGACCGACAGTCACTTCGAAGCCTGGATGATGGATACATATGGATACTAGGGTGGAGGCCATTGCTATTAGGTTGGAGGCCGTCGCTATTATATAGATTCCAAGAGAGAAATCCAGAGAAAAGGAACCCATCATGGACGTGGGTCGAAACCCTATGCAAGTCATGGCAGCAAGTCTGACCCGCAACAGTCACTGGGATTCCACTTTGAAATAGACTATGACAAGAGGTCACCCTGAAAACACAAGACGAGACATCTATCAATAAAGTGGTTTCTGCGTTCAGGTTCCATGTGGTTGTGACTCCAAACCCTGCAAGTATCCTTGATCAGTTGCCTTAGTTATCATTGCAAAGAAGTGCGAAAATATGTCAAAACATTGTGTCAGTCTGCCTATGTCTATTTATTTAGGAGCCAAACTGAGCCACTCAAACTGCGCCTCCTGACAACCTCTGCATCTCCTTCAACGCTTCAAATCTCAGGTTCGTCAGCTTTAGCGCACATGGATCGTGCTTGAACCAGCGACAGTGACAAGCAGGTGACAAGACTTCGAAATGAGGATCCTGAAAGCCAGGGTTCTGTCCACTTTGCTAGTGCAACCCAGTACGTAGTACTACGCTGTCTGCCAGGGCAAAACATACAATATATTATATATATATGTATGTGTGCCACTTTCAAATTCTGTACGTGACGTGTCCTTCACGAAAAAACAGAAACAGCAATCCTGTACAAGCTGTCCTTCAAGGCATAGCAGTATGAGGCTGCAGCACAGAGTTCAGGCCACTTCGCTGTTGGAAGATTCAAAGGTGCTACTTGGCCCTTTCTCCAGTCACCCTTGCTCTTGCCCTTGCCTTTCAACTTGCCTTTCCATCCTTGAGCCCCTGTTGCACCGCCTTTCTCCGACCTTTCCCGATAGCCGCTCTGCCGGTCCATTCCCTTCACTTCAGTTCATCCAGGCAGCGGGCACAGAAAGTGCAATGAAAGTCATCAAATCTACTATTGCCCATATGGACTCCGAACAAACAGAAAAATCCATTCTTTCAACAGCATCTTAGTTGGTGTTCTCCAACATCACGTCCAAAAACAAAACCAAAAGAACCTTTTTGTCAAGCATCAACTTCTCCATGTGTCCAACTCCAGTCGCATCTTTCTCACTTGAGCCCAGAGCCAGGCTTTCGCAACCAAAAACGCGGGCGTCACCGACGCGCCGGGTTAATCGGACTCCGGATCAGTTGAAGAGGAAGGTGAGTGAATTCAGTGATGGCTTTTGATGCCCAAAAAAGCCACACGTGATAATTATTCATGTCCAGCACCACTGGGTGGTGGGATGGAAAATACCTCTTCAGTGGGTCTATAAACCACCCGAACTGGGTGGTGCTGGGTGATAGACGTTGTATAACTATATTTTATAGCTTAATGATTGTTCCGTCGCCGGCTTGTCCAAGGGTATGACACAAAAATGTTTGGACAACATGAACTTTTCCCTTGGACAATGGTAATTTTGATGAGTAAGCAATGGGTATACATGATGACATGGCTTACACAATCAGATCCAAAACACGCCCTACAGCTTTTAGTGATGTCCTCCTTTCTCCCACTTGCTTCCTGTGCTGTCCCCCTCTTGTTCCTGATTCCAATCCTCCTAGCTAAGGACAGCACGAATCTTCATCCAGCTCCGTCGCCACACAGGTCTCAGGCACTGAGTCCTCCGTCTCCAAGTCGTCCTCACTCTTTCCGAAGACAAAATGCAAAAGCATTCGGGTTGGGAGCCGGGAGCTCCAGAAGTTTTACAGCATCTTACAGGGAGGTCCATCCCATTGGCATCCCATGGGCATCCCACGACCTATGGAGTGGAAGAGCTACATCACCTGCAGGCCACAAAGTAATTGCTGCAACTCACTCATGTCAGTGAATGAGGGCCAGCATGAAAGCATCTGGACGACATACCCCTTCTTTCCAGAGGGGTTCCAAATATAGACGGACGCAAAGTAGAACACCGTTGTGGTTGGTCTCTGTCAACATCCCATGCCATCACACTGCGGTAACAACAATTTGGCTCTAGACATGAGGTCGTTCTTGCTGCCGGGCTGGCTGCAAACAACTCAGAAAAAGGTGTATTGTATATATATATATGTATAGCGAGGTGGGGAGAAAAGGTTCCTCTACCATTTCCTCTGTCAGTTTTTAGGCCTGTTGGGCTGGAATGTCTCCCACACGCATGCACACCAGGTGAATGGGTGAAGAACCGGTTGCAGCTCCTGTGGATGGGGATAGTCATGTCGAATGGCAACAAAAAAAGAAACGGAGACCGTCGCACCTGGCCCAAGTAACAAAAACTTCACCATTTGAGCTGAAGACTATGACATACTATGGCCAAAAAGGAAGGAACGAAGTACGTTCGAAGTCTTCGGAACCCCACAGCCAGTGGCACCGAGCCGTTTGCACCGTCTCCATCTACGACCGGACCTCTCAGACGAGCGATGAGACCCAATCACTCACCCTGGCCTGATCGGGCCTTCATTCATAAATATATCTAACGATTATCTTATATTACATATATATACTATAGCTAGTATACTATAGTCTTATATATATAGTATACGGTATGCTATCTATGACGATAGTCTTATATACTAGTCAGTCTCAACGTCTTATATGTGTCTGTGCCCGGGTGTGCGTCCATCCACGATGCCTCGGCTCACCCCGTCCGACGCCTCGCCCGGTCCGGTGCAGGTCCTCATGGTCTGGCGGGTAACCTGCACCGAGCTCGGAGGATTGAGGATCGGTTCGGAGGAGAGCTCGCCGCAGCGCCAGAGGATTCGCAGCCGGACCCGTTTTCGAGGTGGGTGTGTGCAGCAAAGCGACGGATCAGTGACTTTTTCATGCAAATTGATAAAATACCAAGGCCTCCAATGCAGCGTCTGAGTCTAATGGGTTTTGTAGGTGACTTGTGGCAGTTCCGTTCAGTGTTCATCCGCCACCCCAAACCGGGAGCCCTGGCTGTTTGGGGTCTTGTTGGGGCACGGTCGAGTGGATCTCTCTTCAACAAGTTCCGGAGATGTACTTCGATGAACACCCTGGGGAGGACAGAAGAGTGGACGAACCCTGGGGAGGACAAGCTGATGTAGGATGAACAAGGATGAAGCTGTCCACCGATTATGTCATTATGTCGCATGTTTTTTGATCACCACTGAATGAAACACTTGATGATACTTGATGACACCCAGCGCTGTGGGGTGTCAACATGTTCACTGCCTTGTCAGTTCACATCTAGAGAACGAATCGAAAGGTTGTTGATCACATACAATAAGAGGTTTACCAAATTTAGATTGACCGAATGAATGATTGATCTTCCTCTCTCGGTGGGTAGCTCAAAAAAGACTTCAATCTGAAGCGCCTACAACTCCGTGGGAATCGGCCGTGGACTCCAGGTATCGCTCCCCCGTCGCTCGCGGCTCACCTGTCTCCAACAAAGCCGTTGCTGCCGACGTGCGCGGTGCGGTCGGCGGCCTCGGGTGGGGGTTGCGGCGGCTGGTGGGGTGGCCGGAGGACTAGGAGACACTGTGTACAGATTCCAAGGATGGTCCTTCCTGCGTGAAGATTGGAACGTGACGGAATATGTCCTACTTCACATCCTTGGGGGTAATGACACATTGCTCAAGAAAAAGCTGAGAGCATCCGAGCTGGATAGCATGATCCAGTTACTCGCAGACCCAGAAATGTGTTGTCTCATGAGAATTACACACAGTCGAAGCTGCGCTTTGGTCAATGTCTAGTGGTGCAGAATGAACACCAGCACTTTGGTCACTCTACGGTCTTTGTGCTGTGGCCCCTTCCGGCTCGGTTTTTTTTTTGGGGTCAGCACAGAGCCCCAAAGAAGCAGGACCTAGATATTCAGGTAGCTTTGAACCTCAGTCGTCTGTAGATTGAAGAACTGTTCGGAATGTTTCTCAAATCGATAAATATTCAATATGTGATTGGCATTGAAGAGGACTAACGCAAAGAACCGCCGTTGAGGCGCCTGTGCAACCATGGTTCTGAGTGTGTATTGCTATATGTTAACCACCTTCGTCAATTGCTGTTGACCTCAATCTTCCGGATTACTCTTGATGGCAAGCTCATCGCTCACTCAAGACTGTTAACAAGCTTCCGGATGACTCTTGTCCAACAATCTTCTCCTATTCACTGTGGTGTGTATTGCTATTCGGGAGCCCCGGGACGTTGGACCTCATCACTCACCCGAAGAGAATAGACCTAAACTGGCCACAGGGTTGAAAAATTGGGCCAATCACTACAGTACCAACTGGGCCTGACCCCCTCAGTTTTTGGTGGAACATCAGGGGCCTGACCCCCGTCGGTGAGCATAGATTAACCGAACCGTCCCCCTGTTCTTGTGAAACTGTGACTTGCAGGTGGTCCACGCTTTCCTGGAATGGGCCCACACACACCAAAGCACCAAAGCCGGTGCTTTAAGGTTTGAGATGCCGACCCACCCTGCGAGACAGCCGCCTGCAAAGGTGAGAATGATGTTGATGGCCCAAGCAAATCAAGAAACAACGCCAAAAGGAGTCGCCACAGTTCACTTGCATGTTGTGCATACTGGAGTCGCCCAAAGGCCAATAGCCATAAGTCTTGTGATGTCTTGTGCCAAAGTGCCCCTTTCTTGGGCCAACTTTCCACTGACCTTCTACTCTGTGAAAGATGGAACATACAAAGCAAGAGCAATCAAGTGCTGCCTCCCGCGTGCTGGATCCTCCCATGTTCATCCATTTTCCAGTTCCTCTTCCATGCCGAAGACCCATTTTCCAACCACACGTGGGTTGGGACCATTTCTCTCGGCCGTGGACCTGATATGAATTCATGAGAGTCTGGTTTGGGGGAAGCTTCAACTACTACATTCAAAGAGGAGTTTCTCACTTTGAAATGGATCATCTTTCATGTTCATCTCCTACTTGGCCCCAAGATCTTCACGACTTTCTCCTACTATTCTCATTCTCTATTTCACTATTCACCCCGTCTTCTCCTACTTGGGCCCCTGGTTTGGGGTGGTAAAGCACTTCAGACGAGACGGGGTCCGGGTCCGTAGGGGTCCGCAGGGTCGTGGTGAAGCACGACCAAATCGTCGTGACTTGACTTTAAAGCCTGGCTAAGTACATGCCGATGTTTCTTTCTTTGCAAACCCCTTAACCTCTATAAGGGGGATCTCAGTAGTATAATAGAAGACACTCTCAAACTGCGAGCGTCAAAAATATGAGTCTTTTCCGTCCCACCGTCCCACTCCAGGCACTTGCAGGTCCAGGACTATACCCGCCCAACGTGGATTTGCTCAAGAAGGAGGCCAGGAAGCCGCGACAAACTGTTCAAACTGAACTACACCGGCATAGGCGGCATAGACCCCACCGACCCAAACAGCTCTAAAAGCGCAAGCAAGCGGGGAGACACTGAAGAGTGGGGGTTGAAACTCCATTTGGGGCCTACAAAAGCATCTTCCCCAGGCGTTGGGAATTCATCCAGTTTGATGCAAAATCCAAAACCCCGGCGAAACCACGCAAGTAAAACCGCAGCCTCCCACTCGGCGACCGCTTCAACGAACTTGGGCGACACCTGTGGGCGATGGGGACCCGGTCCCGCCGTCGGCAGTCCAAAGATCGCAGCACTGACTCCGAAAAGGGGAGTTCTGAGGTGGGGAACGAGTTCTGAGGTGGGGAACGAGTTCTGAGGTGGGGAACGAGTTCTGAGGTGGGGAACGAGTTCTGAGGTGGGGAACAACTCAAAGAATTGTTTTGAGCCAAATGGACTTATTTCTTGAAGATGCTTTAGTACCTGTGTTTGCGTGGTCGAAACGAAGAGGAATGGGCAACACGTGACGATGTGATAGTTGTGCTGTTTGTGTGAAGGCTAGCTGTGCTTGTTGTAGTTTTGTGGATAGGAGATGATAGGAGCATAAATCATGCACTCTTCTTAGGCAGGTGAAAAAGGGCCTTCGCCTTCCTCATCTCTTCAACACCTATCCTGAATACCCACCTTCAACAAGAGCTGCGACATCCAGGTACTCTCATGAAACGACTACGACCCTGCCCCAAACACTCCCTGGAATTATCATGGAAGTGGATGGCATGGCTCCTTGCATGACAATTTTCCTCTAGAAACTGGTGGTATAATCCACCTCCATGATGATTCCAGGGAGTGTACCCCCTCTCCTGACAACTCCTGATCTTGGGTCGGGTGCTTTGGTTATGTTAACGATGTTGGATCATGTGCTCTTTTCATCGAAATTTACGTGGCTTTGGGCACTCTTGCATCCATTGCAACCCTCTCCACAAGCAAAATTGGAAGAAGGGTCTTCCTTCTCCCTCTTCTTCTTCTTCTTGTTCTCCTTCTTCTTTCACCAGCTGAATGGCCCGACAATTGTATCTACCTAGCCTGAGCACTGTATATTGTCTGAGCCATCCTGCCACACAGCTAAGACATGACATTACATATTGCTTGCATGTCACAAAGGGACTCTTGCTGGGGGAGTGTCATACCAAGCGTTCGAATCACGTACCACTCAGACGGAAGACCACAGATCTATTGCAAGAAGCCTTGCCTCGAATAGCCACGTGCAACCGTTGCGCATTCACACCTAGGAAGATCTAGCAAGCTAACAGAACCGCACCGGAGAAGCTCTTTTTTTGGCCGTCCAGCGGTGCTGTTGGGAAAATCAATCAGACTTGTCAGACTTGTCATCTGGCTGTCCACCATCATCACCTCACTGGTTGCCGGCCATGGCACAAGAACTGGGAATCAGTCCAAAAGTCAAATGCGGGGCTCCCGAAAGAACTGGATTGGACTCAAATAACATTTAACTGCAAGAACGCATCTGATCTAATGTTTTAAAACAAAAAAACAAGAAAACTTCACTGATCTTCGCAGATTTCGACAGGTCACACACCACTGTGTCCTCCAACTCCTTCTTCTTGCTGACGCCATACCTGACGCCATACAGAACCCAATCAGGTTGTTGGATCTCTTGGGTTTCGTCAGAATGATGGGAGGGACACCGACTTGCCCCAGCCCATCCCAGCCCCCAATCCGTAAAAATGTTCAAGTTTTATGGGTCGTGTCTGGGATCAGAATCATTTCAGGATCTGCACCGCGCCTTTTCGCGCTCGGCGCCCGAGAGAGGTGCGCGCCCCGCATGTGGCGCACCCCCGCTTAACCGTCTTTAGCACGAGCCACCGTAAAGAGCCTGACTGTGGTTCGTAAAGAGATTGCTACTTGGGTGTTTTAAAGATGTAGACAGTCTGTATGAAACACACCCGTGGCTGACCCAAGATAAAACAAAATATGCCAGTGGCTCAAATCCATAAAGAATGGTGACGTCAAAAACGACCAATTGTCCTTTGACATCTTTTGGCCTTTACCTGCACTCCTTCATTAGGGCAACGGTGCAGTTCCTCGACCCTGGTACAAGTTCCCTAACGATTGACTGGTGAGTGGGGTCTCGCAGATGTCGCAATGGTCTCGCACAGCTGTCGCCCCACCTGTCGCCCCAAAGAGGTCCCCCATCGAATGCGAGCACTGCCATACATTCCCCTCTCACCGCGCAAGAATTTCACCGCTTGAAAACGTCCCCCGAAAAGTCTGTGCATCCGAGCAGCCCTGCTTTGATGCCAGTCATCTTAAGGCTCGTGCACCGGGGCTTCACCTGTGGGAAGGCGATGTCGAAGGATTCAGGTGCCAGATGGTGCCAGCCTAGAGGTCAAAACACGTTTCCCCCACAACACTGTCTTTCGTCTCACCTTCTCCCACTTCTTATCCAACATGGAATCCAGCTTGTCCAGCTTTCCAAAGTCTGCCGCCTCTTCATCTGCCAAGCCTCACAGGTCGGCACGCATCCAAACGGGTCTGTTCAGCTCAGCGGAACAAGTCGTGGTCTTCCTGGATCCAGGTCGTTTGGATCGAAAAGTCTTTGCTAGAATCGAGTTGTTCCTACAAAGATACACCCCATACTCAATCCTCAAGAGAAGGACCGATGATATATTTCTTTTCAGGGTCTTAGTATAAGAAGACCGAAACGGGGAACCGTGCCCCTTACGGCGCTTGCAGACCTAACCGGTGCCTAAGGGTCATTCCTTTAAGACCAGCACTGGCCCCAACGGAGGCCCGAACGACTCTCAGGCCAGGCACCCTCAGCCCGGAAAGCCGGCTCAACTTGAGAGATCGAGCGAACAAGTGCTGGAAAATGCTGGAAAGAACCCCAAAAACATATATTGTATCATCCATCCTTCCTACCCGTTGGGCCAGGGTGTCTCCCTAATTTAAAAAAGTTAAAGCTAAACACACCCACATCATAATAAAAACATACAAAACAAATTGATTTAAACATTTTGAAACCCAGCTCTCCCAGCAAATCTGTTTTCAACTTATGGCACCAAGGAGCTTTTGGTTTTGACCGCCAAAGCGGGTTCCTCAGCCCCTAAGAAGGGCAATAACACACTCACCGCAGGCAGCATGCGCCGCGACACCACCTCTCGGTGTGGTATTGGCTCCAGGAAGGACCAGAGCTGACTGGCAAAGACCGCCAGGAGCACATAGGAGAATGTCGCGCGTTTGCGCGCCATTGGAAAGAAAGCGCTCAAGAGTTGGAAAGGCTAGTCTCAGACATTGGAAAAGTAGCAAGAAGGACTACTTACTACCGAGAGACTTCGACAATTTAGGCCTATGCATATGCTAGCGCCCTTGGATGCATGACACGCTATCTTTTGGGCCAAAGGCAGCGTAGATTCTCAGTCAGTCCCACAGAAAGCACCGCTCCTCAAGCAGGGACTTGTCCAGCCACCTTGTCATTGAGTCAATTTGTGCCTAACAAATCCTAGAAACCATTAAGTTGCCTATGGATAGTTACCTTGATCCTTTTCATGGCCATCAAACACAACTTGAGGTGAGAAAGAACACCGAGAACACATGGCGTTGTCAGCTCTTTCTGTCCATGAGATCCCTTCACATCCTTCATGTAGACTCATGATATTTCAACCCCCAGAAGAGGCTTTACCGGTGTTACCCTCCAAATAGGGAAGTTGAACATCTGGTCTAGAGTCTACATCATGTCTGCCTATTTTATTATAGTCATCCGAAAATCATCTCAACCCCCCGCTTCCGCAGATCCCCCGCTTCCGCAGATCCCTCACCTTCTCGCTGGAGACCTCACCGGCCATGGCGAGTGATTTGGATCCCAGGGGAAATCTGGTGATCAGCACTTTTGGATGCGCAATCCCTGGTGGGATGCGCATGCATATGAGTGGAGGATCGTGTAGATGATGAGTGGAGGCTCGTCCCGCGCGCAAGGATCATGGCATTCCAGCACCTTACGAGTACCTTCCCTTGTCCATGGTATACGCAACAAAAGTTAGAGTGTCAGCTAGGGCTATATATGCAACAAACACATGTAAACTTGCCGCTGCACAATGAACAGGAGATCCCAAGAATGAACAGAAGTGGTCCTCATGTTGCGGTCGAGATTGGTCGTTGTCACGGCGACGTTGTCAAGATTGGTCGTTCTTTGCGTTTTCAGAATAGGAGGAGGACCGTCGTCACTACCCTGGCAGTGTCGTGGTGAATGAAAGCCGGCCAGCAGTCCTCATTTGCTTGGGCCAACCGTGAGGCACAAAAAAAGAGACTGTGCCTGAGCAACCGCCAAAAAGATTTGTATGTGGTCAGGGGAAGCAACCAAATCATATATCTTGGAAAGCATCATTCTCTCAGTCAGGTGCCCACTGATAGAGAAGTCAACCCCTTTATGTCATGTTCCAGCGCTTCAGTCCCTCTTCAGGCCAAGAAACGTGAATGGATTCTCCACAAGCCTACCATCTAGAGACGTCAAAGAGTCGAAATCCTGTACACACGTACCAGGTATACACCATCTCTGTTTCCCACCCCATCTGGCACCTCCGGCTGGCTCCAGGCCACTTCAACCTCGACCAAGGGATCTCCCTTTTTCCGCTGTCGCCGGTGAACGTCAACCAAGAACCCAATCAGTAGCTGTTTTTGCCGAGAAAATCCGAGAAAAACATGTTCATTCAGTGGAAACCTCTGGCAGACATGTTCTATTCGGGCTGCGAACGTTTCGACTTAAAGGCTCAGTGGAAGGCCAACAGCTTCGTTCGGTCTTTTCACCAGGCCAATCCATTCATGGTCTTCTGAATCAGTTCTCGGCATTGATATGCATTGATCAAGCATGATCAAGCAATTTGAGGTCCTGGTCCTACCAACCAAAAGAACAAATCTCTCAGATCCGATCCGGGTTTCACCCCCCCTCCCATCCAAACTAAAAGCTCATCTGGGTAGAACGCCCTGTGTCCCAAGCTTCAACCTGTGCAGCTCGATGGTGGATTTCAGCTCCCCAACTTTCGACGTCCGCACCGAGGAGCCACGCCGTGGGCTCCGGCTTCGCCGTGGCACCTGGTGCCGTGCAGCTGAACATGTGCGGAGCCGAAAGCGCGTATACACGAGCCCAGCAAAACCACCGCTCCCACAGGGCAGTATTAGACCGCCGATCGGCTGGGCGTTGACCAATCCGCAGCGTGCCCTTCAGAGCGGTTGGCCGCCCTCCCCACGACCGACAGGGTTTTGGGATCGGTCGACCGACGAAGGAACACAGGGAACCTCGTCATGGACGGAGAAGAAGGATTGTCCCATTTCTGTAGGAGGACCAGAAAAGAAAGAACAGATGATAGGTATGGTGAACCAGCATTGGGTGCATAATATACATCATGCATATACTGTAAATCATGTCTAGCATAGTCCTCCGCTGCAGTTGGAACTCGCTTGGGAAAGCTCAGGCGACGCGGTGACGTCGACCGACATAACTAACATATAATCCCATATACTCCATGTATGGCATATATGCTTACATTGACCCCCACAACCACCCCAATATGGCATACATGGAGTGTTTGAGATCTATATTTCAGGATCGCCGACTCAGTAATGAGCTTGCATTTTACAGAGTTACTTTGTCAGTCCTGTGTGGTTCAAAGGTTTAGGCGGTTCAAGATAGGTTTGGTCATGTTTGGCCTAGCCACCTAACCGTTCATTGTCTTCAGGGACGTAACCCCTTCATTATAGAGAGTTGGTAAATCAACAAATAACACCTACAGTGACCCCAAGTAGAGCATCTCTGATACACAAGTCAGATATAGTCAGATAGTATCCTGCACCAAGGCATCTGCAATCTCTCTGAGACCAAATACCATGGGACAATGACATCTGCAAAATTGACCACAATCATCAAAACTCTATCAAAACCTCAAAGGAACCACCTGGAAACCAATCCAAACATGGTTTTTATTTCCCAGGCACTGCGGGATGCAGCATGCGCCGTATGCGCTGCGTGCAGCTGTTGCAACATGCACTCTTCCACCATGTCGGGCGTGAGGCCTGTCCGCCAAAACGATGGGACTGAGACTGGGGAAGTGCAAAGCTGGATTTTAGACTCTGCTCATTCGGGCTCAGGATAGACCTTCAGTTCGCTAGGGCTTCGACCCTCTCACAGCTGGGGTTTTGGACCTCAAATAGCTCAGCAGTTTGAGGGTCCGTGAGCCTCTGGTATTGTGGGTGGACATTCTATGAAATTCTGACATCCGAACACAAGCGATAAATTCGCGTGCCGGACCACAGTAGGACAGCAGCCCTGGATGCCGAACAAACCTACCTCAACTTCTCGCCAAAAGTGATCGCACAAATGGCACCTATAACAATATTAAAACACGATCTCTCAGGTAGCAAGCGGTGGTCTTCTCAAAAGGTTGTTCATTCAAATTCTGGCTCTGCCGCCTGCATGTAAGAATGCATGTGATCGTGCTGCTGCCTCCGCGTTTTTGACTCTCGAGGCTGCAGCTTAAGCGTTTTTTTTGCAAAAAAGGGTTGATTTTTTTGCCTAAATGGCGTTGTTGCCTAACGAGGTTCTAGGTATAGGTTTCATGATGTTTCATCCAAGAGATCTCTTGGTCTCTCCGCGCAGTTTGTCGGGCTTTTACGCCTGTTATCACTGCGGGTGAACAACCGGCTCGCGCGCCCAAGCCTTGCCTTCACGATCGCCAGGTGCCTGGGACCATGTCCCATGCGAAGGATAAGAGATGAACATTGGGCTCCAGTGGGAGGGTGCCAGGAGGGAATATAAATACCTTCTGAGAAGGTAGTTGGAGCCCTGGCCTTCTCAACAAATGTTCCTCTACAAAGGTTGCGATGTGTTCCGTCAACTGACTCAGGCAACTTCAGGGTGATCCTTCATATTCAGGCCCCTTTCGGTTCAGGTGACGATTTGCCTCGTTCAACGGAAAACACCCAAACCCCACCCATGGAGCATGACATGAACAAACTGGAGAGCTGTTTTTGCCCCCGCGCATCCGCTTGTGTTTGTGTCTCCCTGGTGCACTGGCACCTCTTGGTGGATCGGTGAAGGGGGGGAAGGGGCTACGGCGATCATACCCCTCCATACTGACTCCATACCAATCAATAACTTAAAAAAAAAAAAACAGGAATCATGTCCACATCCAGAGACCACAGATGGGGTGTTCTACTGAGTAAAACTGCTGTTTCAAACGGTGCATTCATACATGAGGTCAGTGGCTCTAATGTAGGCACCTGTCAGTGTGTGTATTAATAGTTCCATACCGTGTTCCCCAACCAATGGCCTTTGGATGCTTTTAGTCTAGTGTTGCTCTGCAAGGTCTCGCCCCAAGGCTGAGCTCCCAGGCTCCAGGCTCCGCAGCTCCAGAACTCCAAGGGTATGGCAAACCCAAGGCTGGCGGACGTCCAGTGGCTCGGTCGAACACGAGCGGCTCGGCAGGACTGCGAGGCCGCGGAAGCCGCGAGGAAACAGCGAGGGACGTTGCCGAACGCGGCCCGCATCGAAGGGACGCTGCGGCGGTTGGGATCGAAGGGAAGAGATGGGCGTGGTGCGACGGAAGCGCTCCGAAAGCATCAAACAGGAAATCAATAAGCAATTCAACCAGGACCCCCAAGGGGTGGTTAATGGACACCCCTTAACAGCCAAGGGGCTATAAATAGACACCCCTTGGAGGGTCCTGGAAGGAATTCTCTCGTTATCTTCTCAAAGATGCAAGTTCGCCACGGTTTCAGGTTCGGCATGTATGTCGTGGGACGGTGGGCAACAAGTTTAAGTTCGTGATTCGATATGCCCGAACAACTCTTTGATTAACAACTCATCGTCATTGATTTTTCAAAAGGGTTTTATAAACTACTTTATACATCTTTATACCAGGTCACGTTTCCTAAACGGTATTTGAAGGCTGGTTCCATTCTTCCAACCATCCCCCGCCATGGGAAGGCCATCGGAATCTCCGTCCACGGTCCCCTGAAACCAGCGCTTTGGAGTAGCCTTGCCCCGCTTCGGTAGCCCCACAACCGCAGCACCCGACTCTGATGACAAAAAACACCATTTCCGAGACCTGATTGGAGATGAGCAACGCTCCTCATGAGACCCGTTTGGAGTAGGTTTCTGAGGGCAAACGGTCCCTTGAGCCTTCAAGAGAGCCATTTGGCGCACCGCTTCGCCGCTTTCACTTCGAGGTTGGGGGGAGTCTCGGCGAAGGAAAAACGCTGAGAACCAGAAAGCATTCCAAACGAAAACACTAACCAACTTGGTCCTTGATACTCCCTTGTCGTGAGGTGCACATCTTCTAGAAAAAAACACCAAATTCCTTCACAAAGGATGTGCTGCCAACAAAAAAGATTACCCCCGCGATAACTCCCGCGATAGTGCGATCGTTGCCGCCGCCTGTACAACGACGCTCTTCATCACGCCAAAGCTCCCGCAAAGTGTCCTTGGCTTCTTTGGGTTCGCCCTAAACGCCCCGAAAGCCATCTCCTAGGGCTCCAAGTACCTCAGAAGGTGTTTGGATCCTTTAAACCCACCCCAGTCCCACCTTTCTAAGAAGGTACGACTGGAGCCCTTTTTGGGGATCATGTTCGCTGAACCAGGGAGCGTTTCAGGTCACCGACGGAAGGTCATGGGCTCGAGAGAACATGCCTGGAGAGTCACAGCTGAGCCGAATGCCTGTGCCCCCCTTATGCGCAGGCGCACGCGCACGCGCACGCGCACGGCTTGCGCTGTGTGATTTGTCAACTCCAAGAGATGTTGTCCACCACAGGAAGGGTGGACGGAGTGGACACTGTCCTTCAATCATCAAACCCAGCGTTTCTGGGCACTGCGCCCAGGTTCTTCTTTGCAAAACCCCGAATTGGTCCATGAAGCAAAACGGGCCATGCTGTCTTCAGTCCCTGCCCCTCAGTGTACTGGATCACTGGCCTCCGGCCATGTCATACAGAGAGGGATATATATAGTATGCCCCATCAAGTTGAAGAAACCGGAAAACCCGGTTTTCTCCAAACCCCTAACGAATGGAAAAGTGAACGCAAGGACCCCCCTATTCACTACCCCTCAAAGAGATTGGAGGAAAACCAGTTCCAGACCACGCCGAGCTACGCAAATCCAGCCGCGGGTCCTCTCCTGGCGTGCGATGACGTACCAGCACCCGACTCTTGAGGTCACCACCCTGCCACTTTTTGAGTCTCCAAAAGCACTTCAAAGACCTTAGATTAGTCGGGTGCTGGTACCAATTTCGGAGAAGTTTGGAGGAAGCGAAGGAAGATTAAGGCCATGAGCTGGCCCAAAGAAACAATTCCGGCGTCGAGTTACTGATCAGAGTACCAGTGAAAACAGTAGAAACCATCCGTCTTCATCATGTTTGGAGCACCTTTTCGGCTATGAAACCCCTTTACACCGGCCGGTCTTTCGGACGAAACATCATCGTCTTCCGGGCTCTCCTGTACCGAGACGCCCCTGCCGGGCGTCGCGCCGGCGCTGGGCGTTTGGCTCTCCGTCGCTGAGACGGGCGGCAACAAGTCCTGGCGTGGCAAGGCGTCGCAGGGGCGAAGGATGTTTGCGGTACACTCCCGAAAACTAACATGGAACCTGATGGCATGGACCTTTGGAAGACGACAACCCGACGTGGTTTTCAGGTTCCATGTGGGTCTCTTCCCGAGTGTTTTCGGCGTGTTTGCTTTGGTTTTCAGAGGTCACCATTCGCCACACGACTGGTCGAAAAGCCGCTCTGATGAGACATCAGATGCTTCAGAGGTCATCAAACCAAGAAAAATAACCCAAATCACCCAGTGCCACCTAAGAAACCGAAACATCAACCCCTGCCAAGTTCTCAAGAAAAAAGAACACGTGCACCCTCTGTATTGCTTTGTGGATGTCATTAAAAACAGGATGATTCTCCAGCTCTTCTATACCTCTTGCGTCGACCGATCGCGCCAAGCTACTTGGCCCCTGAGCCTCCGTGCCATGGCGCGGCAGTCGATCTCCAACTGCAGAAACAGCTCAGCGATGGGACCCAGTTGAGAGCCCGGGGAGCGAGCTCGGCCCACCGGTTGGGTTCAAAATCGGTGATGCAGCCAGTGATGCCCAAAAAGACTATTGTTGTTAGCTGAGTAAAAAGATCGTGGTATCACCAGACTGCCACTGGTTGGCGGGCGCCAGTCTGAGTCTCTAGAGGAACCAGCGGTTTTTGGTTCCTCTTTTCTTTTCTGTGCTATGATCCGGACATACTTTCCACGTGCTCGTGGTCGATCATCCTTCTTGCTGGCTCATCGACGTGGCCCAGAAACTGGACATAACAGACGAGAACATGAAGATGGAGCCATGTTTGTTCCATTTCCCAGCTTGTATCTTTATTTATGTTGATTAAGAACATTTGAAAACATCTCTGATGTAGTTCTGAGACATGAGTGGTGCACCAACAGCACTAACTTGGAGACATGCGAATCATTTCACAACCACCTTCTTGTTGTGTCCTGTGATCTTTTGGATTTCCCGCTCCGGGTGGATTGGGTTTGTCTGAATTCGTTCTCAACATTTGGCTTGGAGGCAAACCAACAAGCCTTTCTTTGACACGAAACCCATCATGCCGTCATGCTGCTGAGCGTGTCAATAACTCTTGGAGTGGCGAAGCATATTAGCAAGCTTGCTGATCGCGGTGCTGATACTTTTCCCTCCGAAAGCATCTTCCTGGCATGCTTTTCGAACATCAGACCCCTCAAGCAGCCAGGGCACACGCCGTCCCAGAATCTGTGCATATCTCATCTGCATCATTTCTCTGCGCCCCAAGCCACACCGTACACAGATCCCAACAACCAACAAAAAACACCACCGTGGGCGACATCCCGACACATCCTGCCTTGTTTTCTGGGATGGTTCCTGATATCTTGGTCGCTGCCCCCACCACAACAACCCTCGGACGCCCGCCTCGCAGCGCGTGGCCTTTGGATACACAGAGGGCGGCCTGCTGCGCTCGAGCGCGAGAGAGTCTTCAGGCATCAGGTGAATCGGTGGCCCTCGGATGGTGGGCCTCGGATCGTTCCAACCTTTCAATACCAGGGCCTGAGCCGTTCGTGACCGTGGAGTCTCTGTTATTTCTGGGATCTTTGAAGGATACCAGTCATTTGGAAGGTGATGGGTATGTCTTCTCAATATATTGAAATGCAATCCCCTAACTATAGCGAACATGTTCACCCCTATCACCGCTCTTTTTGGTCTTCGGTATTTCCATCTGTTTGTTCCATCGCTTTCCATTCGCTTCGTGGCTTCCGGGTGCCCCAAGAAGTTCCCCCCGACCCCGCGGCCTTTGATCCTTCACGGGCGCAGCGGTTCCACACCACCAAGGCCGCTTGGGCCCGGCACGGTCCAAAAGATGTTCCTGGCCGCGGCCGCGGCCAGCCACGCACCGGCTTGAGAATGGTTTGGGCCCTTGGACATGGGGCATGTTTATATAGGAGGCCATCGCTAGTAGGTTGGAGGCAATCACTACTGGTTACGGGATCAAAAAGGTTATACCAGCATAGACCCCAAACAGCTTCAAGACGATTCGCTTAGACCCATATTAGTCAAAAAATGATTTCTTGGTACTCCCTACCTTCACCCCAAGAGCAAGCTGCTTCATCAATGAATTTTTGTCGGCCTTGACATCACTATTTGTTCGGCCACACTCCTCTCCAGTAAGCCGGGCCACCGAGACGAGCCGAGTTCAGGGGCGCGGCCAAGACAAGGACAAGAGGAGGACAGGACCCGGACACAGAGCCCGGCCACAGAGGAGGAGGACAAGAAGAGGACAAGAGGAGGAGCAAGGCCCTGCCACAGAGCCCAGCCACAGAGGACAAAAGGAGGACAAGGTTCAGGAGGACAAGGCCTCAACACAGAGCCCAGGCAGAGAGGACAAGAGGAGGACAAGGCCTGGGCACAGAGCCCAGCCACAGAGGATACAGAACAGAGCCCAGCCACAGAGGACAAGGCCTGGACACAGAGCCCAGCCACAGAGCCCAGCCACAGAGTTCAGGAGCGCGGCCAGTGAGTGTGGCCAGCTCTTTTTTCTAAGATAGAACCCCAACAGTAAACTGTTTGGGGAATAAAAAGTGAATCAAAAAATATTCAACGGGGATCAAAAAAACATAAAACGGGAATCAAAAAAGATTCTAGCCCACTGAGGATGGTTGAGGTTGAGCATCGGCTCAAAAAGTCGTTACATTCCATCACTACGTGAAAAGCTGCGGGGCTATTACACTTGAGTGCTCACGCATGGTCCAGCCAAAGAAGGAGGACAATCTGCAAATGCGATGGGCGACCCTTTACATAGCTAGTTTTCGTGGCAGGCGCAGTGCAGAGTGCAGATTTCGTGGTGCTGGACGAAGTTGGGGGGGAGGGCGTAGCGCCTCCCCCCCAAAACGAACCAAACGTTAAAACACAGCACCACAAAAGAAATCAGTAGAAACTATGTACCCTATCGACCTTTCAGTGAAGGGCATCTAAAAGTGCACAAAAGGACCTGAGGCAACCGAAGCCAAAAGCATTGTACACTTGCAGGAAAACTGCGGCCAATAAGCTACAAGAGAAAGGACCAAAGGCATAAAAAGCATCAGTGAAAGAACACGGAGAAAACCATAGGAAACCCGAGGACCAGAGGATCAGGAGGACAAAGGACCAGGAGACCACAGGACCGGACCAGGACCAAAGGACCAGGGGGCCAAAGGGCCTGTGGACCAGAGGACGAAGGGACGAAAGGACCAAGGGACCACAGGACCAGGGGACCAAAGGACCAGTGGACCAGCGGACTAAAGGACCAGAGGACCAGAGGACCCGCAGACCACAGGGCCAGGAGCAGAAAAGGCCTATTGATCTAGATGCCATCGCTACGAGGGTGGAGGCCATCGCTAGTAGGTTGAAGGCCATTGCTACTACCAGCAGGGTGGAGGCCATCGCTCTGTCTTTTTTCATGGTTGGCCATGGCGGCCGTGGGGAGGTGGGACATGGTGCGATGGTGGGACATGAGCGCCAGGCTCACGGTGAACACGTGTCCGACGCGTGTAAAAAGCGTGATACTATATATAGGCTTGGTTCAAAATCATTGGCTCAAGCAAAACGTGAGATAGATGATGTCTTGATTTCATTGGAATTCATTGGATTCCCATCTAGAATGATCTGGCCATGTTGTCCGGCGAGGCATTCTCAAGGAACTCCAGACGGCGGCGTGAACTCGCGGAGTAATGAAAATAGGAACGGATAGAATAGGTGGAAATATATATAGAGATATCGTATTAAATACAATACCTCTGGAGGGGTTGCCCTGGGCCCGGCCTCCATATATTTATTTGTTTTGCGTAACCATGCGTAACCGTATGAAAGGCAGCAAGAAGCGCAAGAAGGCAGACATGTTGCATAGTTGAAGATCCAGGCATATCTGGCAAATGAACCTCAATACCCTCACGCCTCAACGTTCATCGTCCATATCACACTTACTGAGAGAATGATGTGTCGGATAGACCCATCCCTCTTTCACCGACAAAAGAAATTGGTTCCTTTCTCTGGTTTTTCAAGCGAGTTTTTCGAGGCACCCAGCAAGCTCCAAAAAAGGCAGAGAGACTCGATCCGCATCGAGACAGCAAAACTTGAGCGTCCCTAAGGAGGTCCCACACATGGTACGTCCACCGTCACATGTGACGTGGCATGCATACGTGATGTGGAGGTTCACGTGTGGATGTTCACGTGGTTCAAAAGAACGTACCCATACGTGCATCTCACAGTAGTTATAGTAGTTGTAGTACTCGCCTCATCAAAAAAAAACGAGAAAACTCCCCCCCGCCCGCGCCTGGGGATTGCCTGGGATCTCCTGCGCCCACTTCCTGTGGTATGGGAAGCACCCCGAACTGTCCCGCGTGGGCCCGCGCTGGTGTCCACCCAGCGGTGCAGCTTTCCGCAGCGCTATGTGCTCCGCGGCCACGAGGAGCTCACGCATGCCGCCCAGGCCAAAGGTGTCCATGAAGTGCAGGAGATAAGGCAGGTGCACCTGAACATGTCGGTTGAGAGGGCTGCTAAAACAATTCTATATATTAGATTAAGTACTGTAATATTAAGTTTATTATATATATAATTATATATACCTTGAGTCTCCAAAGACCTTTTTCTTATGCGTTTTTGTTTTTGGTCTAATATTTTTGCGCTTTTGCTCGAAAAACGCGTTTTTAGAGATGAGGACTCAAAAAAAGGTGCAGAGTGAATCTTCATCCGGACGCGTCCGGCACGGACGCTTAAAGACGCCTTTTGGACGCAAAAAGACGCGTTTTGGACGCCGAAAAAAGGTCTCAGGACACTATCTAAGGAGGATCTGACAGGGCACAAACAAAAAAGGAACATTTCGTGACATATGCAAAAAAGAGTGCCTTCTTTCAAAAACCTCTTTTTCTTGGAAAGGCAAATTTAAAAGGGTCATTGGAGACTCAAGGTACATATATATATATATATTAGTTGTGTATGATTAGAAACTCACCTCCTGTTGCTTGTAACTGTGCCGTTTCCAATAGGAGGCCTGGAAGCGTGAAGATTCGCTTTTGCTTTCAGTGTTTCCAACGACTTCAACGCACGAATCGACCGACATCGCTTCGTTCCGCACGTCTTCCGCATCACTTCGGGAAGCGCCCCAAAGGCATCCCACCGAGTGCGCTCTCTAACACCACCATCGCGTTGTTCGACACGGCGCTGTTGTTTTCCGGCCGAAGACATCGGTTCGAGGTTTTTTGTTCCGGCCTCAAAGGGCTGAAATGAGGTGTTGAGCACTGCACCCTGCTGCAAGAGATGCGCCAAGGTGTTACACTGCTGCGGCAACACCGCCCAGAGCTGAACGAATGGGGCGGACGCGGTGGACGTGGATCCGGTGACGTCCACGTCGTGGTGGCCGTAGATGGAACGCCACGGAAGCGTGACCCAGCGGAGGTCGTAGAGATACCTGGCAAGGGGTCGTAGAGGCACCAGAGTCCCTGAGTCTTTGGTAAAATGGAGGAAGTCAAGGTTCAAATATATTCAAATATTACATTATGTACAGTATAAGAGTGAACATCATGAGGGTGAAGAGATGTGAAGATTCCCATACATATATATATATATTTGAAATCATCGTCCATGCACTTTCTGGTCTTTCTCTTCATTTTCCTTCCTCATCCGGCGCACGCGCCCGGCTCCCGGGCACCAAACCTCAGGTCGGACCGGCGGCGTTGGACGGCGCTTGCGGGGCGCGTAACACGCGGCGCCCGTGCGAAGAGCGCAGACACTCCGTGGAAACTGCCCAGACTCTCTCCCGGTCCCTCCAAACCTCGGGATTCCAAACCCAGAAAAAGAAGAAACAAACATCGGTGTTTGACAACTTAAAAGTAGTTAAGACATGCACTCTGAATTATCTGAAGACAAACAAACCGAGCATCCGGGTGGTCAACACTCTACAGGTCGTCGACAGAACCCTTGTTGCACAGCAGTTGATCCAGTGGGCGAATGGGTAAGGCGTCGTCTTTGCAAGCTGTTCTGGCTGCCTTTACTGGTGGGTGGCACCTGCTTGAGAAGCACGAACAGTGCGGCCATTTTGTGAGATGAGAGACTGCAATCCTACTGCCACGGACCCAATCTGAAACAGCACGGCAATCCCAATCGCCGGGTCGACACTTGTAATCCGCCGACCCCGGCTGAAGGAGGGGGAGCGCGCGAGGGATTACAGGTGCGGGAGCCTTGCGCTTCTTCGTCTCAGCACGAACCTGCAGGCAACAGACGCTTCCACTGCTCGATGCTGCTCGAACACATGCATCACTGGAGCCGCAACCT